AGTGAAATGCATTGATTTACGATCGAACAAGCAAAATAATTGAATGAAACAAACGAGGAAAGAACAGAATAGTAAACTGTCCAAATCAAAACGAAACAACCAGACGATCAATTCTTGACGTAGTCGATAATTAATTATTAATTAATTGTTTAATTGAGATAGGTGTGATAAAAAAAAACAAATTTGGTAAATACAGTTCGAAACGTTACTGTAGCTATTGATATTACTTTCGCATTAAAACCGTTCGTTTTGGCTGAATAGGAAGGAAAAGTTGGGGAGAGCGATGCTATATATCTCATGTATAGTAAAGGAGCGTTTACTTCATAGTTGCAATATCCCATGGAATATGAAAGGTGCGTATTATGCATAAGAACTGATACTTTTACAGTACCGAGGGGTTAATGGTGAAAAACAAAATATAATGTTTCTCATACAAAATATTCATAATTTAATAAAGTGTCTTGTAGAAAGCCGAATCCAAATTTAAAGTTTTTGGTAGTAACGGGAGTCTTGGGAAAGTCTGAAAAATAAAAGCAAATACACTGTAGTTCTGGAAATATTATCTTTTACTTTGAAAAAAATACGAAAACATCTCATTTTAAGATGTTTTTAAAGAAATTCAGGGTGCCTCACCAAATTGTTTTGATTGCTGTGTAATAAGGCAAGTAGGCTTGAAAATTTGACACTCAGCAGACGTACTGAAGACAAAAAAGGACAAAAGAAAACAATGAATAATCTACTTAACGCGCATGCGCAAATGGATGGCAGGACAGGAAGTTACAAAGATAGTAAAAAGATTACTAAACACTACAAAGAAAAGGAAACAGTGGAGATCCATGATCACCTACGTCCTGAAGGGACTCGACACATAGAGAAGAAGTTATACATTAGTTACGTTGGGACCAAACATATAATTTACTTTCAGCTATACTATCCCGCATATAAGGCCGCAAATGGCCTTAAAAAGTGTTATAGTTCAGTTCTTGCGTATAATACGCACCTCTTAATTTTAGGTTTTAGAATATGCAAAATCGCAAATTATAGATGAATAATTACAGTGGTAATAGCCTCAACGGCCGCGAACAATGTGAGAAAGATTTGAATTTCTTCTGTTGCGAGTATCTCGGCATTTGTGTAGTTATGGGAGAGTGGTTTGATTCGAATAAATAACATTTATGATAATGTTGAATAGTATTGTAACCATATGTTATATACCGTACGTTTGAACACTAATGGGTATGTCTCAATTCTCATAAATACGTTGGACACTATTGTAAGTGGAGGTAATATGTTAAGTAACCCACCACTAGAAGTGGTTTACCTATTTCACGCTGTTGGCGAGTATTTGTTGATATTATAAACATTACCATTTCATTTCTAACCTCCTTTTTGGTTATTCCTCATTCAGTAACCTTTCCTAGGTTACAACACCATACAAGAGATTCTCTCAGCTTTTCACTGACCGGACAGTGACTACTCAACGTGCGTCTCTATTCTTCCGTTCGTGTCTGTGTATATTGAAAACTGAGAAAGGCACGCTGTAAACTTACAACGAAATGAAACGTGAAAATAAACGCTGCAGCGGGAAATGAGGACAAGAAGCCTGTTTTTCAATGTATTCAGATATTGGTTTCAGGGAGTTACTTGTTTAGGTAGGTAGGTGACACCTGTGGACGACTTCTGACATCTCAGACTAACGTATCAGCCTTTCCCCTCAAACTTTTCCCTCTAAACTCTCCTCCTACCAACCCTCTTCCTATCTCAACATCACAATGTGAGGTCTGGCAACTTTAGCAGCGGTATCGGAACTCCCCAGAGGGATAGTCTATCACCATTAACAGGCGATCTCGAACTCACCTCTGACCTTTAATATAGTCCAGTGATCGGAAATACTCAACGTCCGCTTGATTTCCACTTGACCTCAAATATTTTCATTTATTTATTACTGTATTCTCTTTTGTTCAGGTGGATAGCCGCTTTCAAGACATCACCTCAGACTTTATTGCTGGTCATAAAATATGAACGACTTGTGACTGAGATAAAAGCTCACAACATTCTCTTTAATGTTGGTGTCACAATAATTGTTGAAAATGTCTAAGAAATTGTACTTATCAAAGTTTCAAAAATTGAGGTCTGACAGCTTGCATGAAATATCATCATTCGATATGCTGAATTCAGTTACACTTCTGGGAGTTATGCAACTGTATCAACCACTAAGGAGACATCATACACAATAAATGAGGCTTTGTTCGATATTCCGAGAAAGCTCGTTTAAGAATTACGATCCACAGGTTTCGAACTTTCCGAAGGCCAAAATCTCCAGTGGCACAGTTTCTTCAAATTAACCACTGACCGCGTCACAGAATATGCATAAATCATAGCCGCCATGTTGGCCTCTTCTAATTCACATGCTGAATAAATATCAAGTGTTTTCTAATGTACCTGGCTTAGGTGAATATATTGTCTCGTTAATACGTGTCCTGCCATCTTATGCATACAACTGATGTCACCAGTGGTGACATTATCGAAGTAATGTATATTTATAAGTGTTCTTTAGACATGAGAGAAATCACACTGCATGAAATTGAGAAAAATGGACTCGTGATTTCCAGAAAGGTTTTGGGTGACTTTTGGGAATAATAATTGTGAAAAAAAAAAAGCGGCAATTTCACGATATTAACTGATGGGCAATAAATAACTGACAGTCTGCATTTATTTATAAGTTTTTGGGACACCGTGAATAATTTTTTTTTTTTTACTCAATGGATTTTTCCATTTTCAAACTATTTTTATTTTTCAATTCTGTTTTTCATTTTTCTTTAAATGGTTAATTATTCTTCTTTTTCAGTCTTTGAATTCCTCTTTGATTTTTTACATCACATTTACTCATCTTCCATTTATTAATCTTATAGAAATTTTTCCATTAATACAGTTATTCTCAGGGTTCTGTCCTTGAGCCAACCTTGTTTCAGAGTGTTTAATTTCGTCGCTAGTTCTGTTGACTTTTCTACTGACTAGATTACGTCAATATTTTATTTTCACTGTGTGCTGCAGACTCATACCATTTTGACATAGTATGGTTCCGAAAAGAGGGATTGGTTCTACACATTCACCACGAGAAATCCAATCATCTGCATCGATAGAATAGTGATTAAATTCTAAACTCCACTATTGGAAGTTCATACATCGAAATCGTATTTGTGCGTCTCTGTGTCTATACGCGCGCCCGCGCGCATGTGTGTGTGTGTGTGTGTGTGTGTGTGTGCGTGTGTGTGTGTATGCCTGTGCGTTTTATATTGGTACGACTACATATGCACACGACAGGGGGGTGATGGTAATTTTAGATTTTTAAAAATTTAGCTGAATTCATTAGAGTTTTTTTTCTTTGCATCACTTTTCTAAGTAGTTATTCCACACTTTGATATTAGAAGATCTGCCAGGAATGGCGCAAATTTGCTGTAGATGAGCTTTTTGCAATCAAAGTACTCTTTAGACATTTAAGCTGTAGTGAATTATTTGATCAGAGTAGCATTTTTTCATATAAAAATTGTGGTCACTCTCTTTACGGTGGTCAACCAACGCATTTGACGTATTATTTTGTAAAATGTTCCTTTTGTGTTCATATAATGTTTTATTTAGATTCTTTGAGGTTTCTGTTATGTATTTTTTGACAATTATTTCAGGCTATGGAGTAAATTCCTCCGTCAGGTTTTAACTTATTGTTTTGTTTAGTATTGACTAATCCTTTTATTGTTTTGGATGTAGTAGTAACAAATTTTATGTTGAGTTTAGATAGATTCTTTTCGATTGTACATGTGATAGAGTTCGTAGTCAGGATAATATTTTTTTTTGATTCTTTGAGTTTTTGAGGAGGGGCCGTCTTTTTTGTTTTGGAATATTTTGTGAACTTTTTGTTTCGCATTGAATATGAAATAATTAGGGTACTGGGGAATTTTGAAAGTGTTTTCAATGTGTTTCTCTTCGTGTAAATAATCCTAGCTGTATATTCTTAGATCTCTTAGACAGAATCTGATGATTATGCCAGATTTTATTTTGTTGTTATGATGTGAATAGAAATTTATTTGGTCGTTTTTGTTGGTTGATTTTCAGTGGACACCGACTTTTAAACTGTTGCTAATATGGTGTAACTTTATATCTAAGAAGGGGAAGAAATTGTGGTCTTCCATTTCATATATAAATTCCATTGTGTGTTCGAATTTGTTTAGTTGATCAACTTGTGAAGTAAATCAGTATCATGAGGATATATAAGTAGAAAATCATCAATATAACAAAAGTGTTTTGATTGTCTGGGTAAAATATTTTGGAAAGGCCAGGATTCAAGAAATTCAAAGATACATGCCATCATGCCACTAAGAGGCGATCTCATTGTTCATCCAAATATTTGTTTGTAAAAATCATTATTAAATGTGAAGTAGCATTGATTGATGATGAGACGGAAAATTTTTATTATTTGAGCTGCTGCTAGAGAGAGCTTTATCTTTGAATTAAATGCTTTTCTAGGAAATTAGGCTTTTCTGACTGGGATGTTGGTGTCGAGGGTTTTTTTTTTATCTAGGATGGCCATGCATCTGTCGCTCATGTTCATTTCCCTTAGTTTTTAGTTTTTATTTTATCTATGCTGCTTGTGTTCTTTGTATGAGTTGAACTGATTGTTCCAAGGAGAGGGTTTAACATTTTTGTTATAGCTTTCACTAGTTTATAGGGAGAGGGAGGGGGCACTGTCTATTCCTGAGATAATCGGGCACATTGGGATACCAGTTTTCTGGGTTTTAAGGAGACCGTAAAGTTTAGGTGTTCTAGGGTGATATTCTCTGAGTCAATATCCCAATTTGTTTTCATTTTTAATTAGTTTCCTGATTTCTTTGTTAAATTTTTGTCTTTCAGTAAATTATTTGTTGTTAGTTTATTTTTTTATGTGTTCCAATATCGTTGAGTATTTTTTCTTTGTATATTTTCTTGTTCAAGATCACAATCCTCACCTCCCTTGTCAGAGAGTGAGTGAGAGATAGAGAAAGAGAGAAAGAGATAGAGATAGAGAAAGAGAGAAAGAGAGAGAGAGAAAGAAAGTGAGAGAGAGAGAGAGAAAGAGAGATATAGAAAGAGAGAGAGAGAGAGAGAGAGAGAGAGAGAGAGAGAGAGAGAGAGTTATGCGCATTTAGGTATGTATCTCTTGTAATGTATTTTCGTTGTTGGTTTCTATAGTAGCAGTAATTATGTCATGAATGAAACCTTTGGTGAAATCGGAGTCGTCTTGCTTATGATGTTTTACTATAGTCTCTCTCTCTCTATATATATATATATATATATATATATATATATATATATATATATATATATATATATATATATATATAGGTTAATTATTACGACACAAATAAAACATTGTTCACATGTTACAAGCATTAACATTTTATATTTTTTCAATTTGTATCGATCGAAATCGAAGAATTTGTCCCATTGGTGCACGAGCAGAATTACTCTTATCGAAGATTGTGGTGTCAAGTGACTGGTGCCATTCTTGCCCCTCTGTGTGGAACCGCTTCCCGGATAAATGTTGTCCGACCCCCCCCCAAAAAAAAAGCGTAACACTCTTCACGAGGCTTGAAGATTCATCTGCCACTTTTATGAACACAGCAAGGGCACCCCGAAGCTGTGTAATAGTTAGCAAGCTTGTCTCGCTAGTACAATTACGACTGAGTGGTAAATTCGATCCCCACTGAGTGCTCCATACTTTCGGCCTTGTGCCACATCTAAGCTACGCTTGAAAAATCATTTTATGAAGACAGCAAAGCGGATCGATATCGACTTCTTTTTTTCTGTTGTTTCTTGCCGTTAGCATGCAGAAATCTTGTTACACTTCGCACCTCTGTCCATTATTTTATTCAACTCTATTCTAACGGCACATAAGCATTTGCAAAATATTAAGGCTACTGTGGCTGTTACAAGAACTATTGTATACTCCTTCTTGTTCCGTGTTAAAATCTTTTAAATCGTTTTGGACATTCCTCGTGTATATAAAATGTATAAATAAACAAAAACTGGAAGCACAAATTGATTAAATCTAATTCCAGTAAGCGTCAACCGCATTAAAATAACACCGTCTTCCATTGCATTAAAAATGGTGGAGCATAGTCGAATCCTGGCTCTTGAGGCATCCTTAAAAGAAATAATTGGAAAATATCAGCCACTAACCGCATGTAATGTAACCTCTTGATATTGCCACTTGAAACTCGCTTGGAGTCATATTCAGTTTCAGTGGGCAATGTGAATAGAGACGAATATAAAAAGCGCAATGTCTATTTATGGTTTCTGCGCAGCATAATCTTCTAAATCAGTAGAAAGCTTCTTTTGATGAGGCAGTGTAATGAGAATCTTCTGTTGTTATAAAATCGAAAAAATAAAATTTTTTCTTCTACATAAAAAAGGACTCTTTCTGGACATTGGTCCCACGTACGCGTGGGAACCTGACTTTAAAAATGATAGCACACCGTGTCCGAGAATGCCAGTATATCGTCTAAATGTATTAGAAAGCATTCCTCTTGACTTTGTAACAAAATGAACTTGTATTGGTATGTAGGCGAACCAGAATAGCACGACATTAAAATGAAAAAAAAAAAAACCTCGATGACAAGTGAACGCACTTTGTTCATTCTCATCCACATGGAATTCGATTTGCCAATAAACGTACTTAAATCCAGTTTCACGTAATACGTGGCCGATTCGAGAGATTCCAAAATGTCATCAATAATCTGGAGATAGGTTGTCATTGTTCTTGTAATTCTATTGAGCTCCCTAAAGTTTACGTAAAACAGTCTTCTACCGCCTTTCATGTCGAGTTAGAAGGATCGAAAAAAAAAAAACATGGATTCCAGCATCTTTTTGCAACTTCCGTCTTGTGCTTTTTCTACAGCTTTTCTCTTTGTAAATAGTGCGCGATACGGGGACTTTTTAATAGGCTCGTGATTCCCCCCCCCCACCTCCGTTTATCTTTAATGTAATCGTCCCACCTCAGTATCACGACTAACAAACAAGATCCTATTATTCTTCGGTACTCTGTTTATCATCAGCCTGAATGGACCGCCTCTAGAACTTCTTTCCTGATAGGCACACGCTTTGTCTTCATTGGACAGAGCTTCATGTATAACTCCCACCGGACTGAGACGAGCTGAGACGAGCTGAGACGAGCTGAGACAGGCTACCATACAACCCAAAGTCTCAAAGTAATTTCCGGATTCGTTCTCTTCATAATTGACATTACTTATCTACACCAAGCCCGTACATGTTGCTCCCGACCGCTGTCACCCATTGATTTACCTCGTAAATACTGACCCCGTTGTTCGTCTCACCTTTCAACTTCACCTGACGGATTAGTCGGAGTAGGGATGGCATAGGCTTCACCCCGCACTAATGCCGCTTGTTATCGACTTTAAGGACTCCCAAATCAAAATAGATTCGTACTTTCCTTCCGACGAAGTCAGTCACGACCCAGGATAATATTTCTATTCAAATTCTTCACGTCTTATCAAATAACTTAATATCAAATTCGAACAAATTCTTAGCGCGTGCCGAACATTTTCCCTTAAGAAATAGAAATTTTGTCATTACATTGTTCGAAAAAAAAAATCATCTTAAATAGGTTAGTCATTTTGGAAGGTTTAACTCGTAGAAATAGATTCTGTTTGAAATAAAAACATATCATTAAAATAAACCCGGATTTTATTAAAATAAAAAAAAATTCTCGAAAATTTCTATTGTCTTTCCAAAGACTAAAAATAGCACATTTTCTGTATTTTGTCAGTAGAGAAACAAAAATCAAAAGTAACTGAATCGAACAATGGTAGTTTTTTCACTTCTTTTTGGACTGTCATAGCTAAAACTCCTCTCTCACGTGCCAAATGTCTTATGGATTGAGTTCGATCTTTTCTAATTGATCTTTTTAGATCTAAGTTGAAATGATGATCCTTCTTGCTGTTGTGACTTCCTGATTCAGTTTTCCTCTCTACTGTTCCCGCTTTTTAAAACTTATTCACCATTCTCTTGGTGGTTCTTGAATAGACTTTGAAGATGGAATCCAGAGTATGAATGTTAGTATAATTACTCAAGGCCAGAATAATATTTTTCCTCCCACCATTGCTCAGTTGAGAAGACAGGGTGTCTGACACAAAACAATTTTAAGCTGTTCTCTTTCTAGCTGAATAACTCAAAATGTTTTTCAGTAATTCTTACGACAAATGGTGTCAAGATGGCTAAACATCTTATTTGAAAACCTGGAAAATAGAAACTCAATTAGTTTAGTGTTTTTTTTTTTTGATATTAAACATTTTTTCGGGAGAACAATTACGCAGTAACACGTTTTGAAAGATTTTGCTGTTAGACTATATATATATATATATATATATATATATATATATATATATATATATATATATATATATATATATATATAAACAGGAAATTATGAATTATATGTGCGTTTAAAACTCAGTAAATTTAAAAATAAGTTATTCCAAAATTCGCTTGAAGTTGAAACGGAACTAATGCTTTTAATTATATGATTAAATCTGAAGTTTTTACCTTCGGTTTTTGAAACATGGTAATTCCAGTGTAGAGGATAAACCATATTTTAAATCAATTAATTTATAATATTTATGCTCTGTAAATTTACATTGAGCACTGATTTGTAAAAATAAAAAATATCAATAAGAACACCGGATTATTTATCTTACTGTTCTTTCTTTTTATCATAATTATATATATATATATATATATATATATATATATATATATATAGATAGATAGATAGATAGAGAGAGAGAGAGAGAGAGAGAGAGAGAGTTTCAGACAATGGGATTAAAAGTAGCCTGAAGCGAAATTCGAACTTGGATGTCTACCCATAATTTTTGCCATTGAAACCCTAACCCGTGACAAATATAATTGGGTTTGCAGAATCTTTATACATTTGGCCGTCTCTTTTTGCGATCATGTTTTGACTTGCTGCTAAGCTGAAGGCTGGGATGTGGAGGCTGGTTGCATGTCAGGAAAACGCTTTTCCCACAAAACGCATCTCTCAGGTCATATAACAAAAAGAAAGCGCTTAATCGCCACTTTCCAAATTCTAATCTCTTTGGTGATCTTCTTTTTTTTAATCTCGACCATCCCGCCCCTCCTCCGAATGTAAATAGTCAAATATCTAAAAGGAAGAGTTTGAACAAAACATAAGGAGAAAATATGGCGACACACAAAATCGCACAACACGCCTGCGTATGAAAGAAAAAAAAATCTTGAATAATCGGGGATCGAATAATGAAAGAGCGGCTTTTCTTTCCTCAACGCATGTGTCTGCTCGAAGAATTAATTTCCTCTGAGGTTGATTGTTCGGTCGACAGCCGTTCTCACATGTCGAGAAGTATACAGCCATAGACATGTAAACACACGCGCGATCACGCACATACAGATCTTATCTTTATTAAACACAGTTGAGTATGACACAAGGCCAACAGAAGGACACAATCAGAGGAACGTCGAAAGATTGTGTTGCGCAACTCATATTATAAAGAAAATTTTAACTGCTCACTTATAAATCAGCATTTGAAATCATGGCTTCGAACTGGGATCGAACACAGACCTGTGATAATGATAGGAAATAGACTATTATTGCAATCATCCTACAGACAATGTTCCTCCCTCTCCTATTATTACTTATTAGTAGTAGTAGTAGTAGTAGTAGTAGCAAAGTATTAGTAGTCGAAGTAGTGCTTTATTAATGAGATTGTCGGTGAGAAGGCCAAGTGAACGTGACACGTATGCGAATCATATCGCCCTCTCTCCGCCCCTCATGTGAAACGCTCGAATTAAAAAAACGTAAAAGAAACACACCTGTGTGACATGTTCTTTTTGGGGGGGGGTTGTCAGCCAAAAAGCAGTTCAGTAATGAAGAAGTTCTAATAGAAGGTGTTTAGGTTCAAGTAAAGATATTGGCAGGGGCCCTGCTGGGAACGAACAGAATGCAACTTGGAATCATTTCCTGTTTGAAATATCTGCAATAAGCATATTCTGCAATTGAATATTTGCAGCCTCTTCAAGTGAGACGTGTGTGGCCTGTACGGTTGATGCTGGTAAGTTTTATGCGCTTTCAAAAAAGAGCGCCAACCTGGTGGCGGCTGTGAGAGCAAATATTTTCTTGAAGTTGCCTGACACGTACGTGCATATGTGCGCATGTGAAAATGTGTATGCACCTGAGTATGTACCCGTGTGAGTGCGTGTGTGTGTGGGCATTTAGGTGTATGTGTGTGTGTGTGTGTGTGCTTGACTGATGTTGTTTAAAAACAAAACTCTAAATATTTTTAGATTGTCCAAACACTCCGATCTTTAAACAACATTTTGTTCTGTTCAAAATAATTAATGAATAATCTTTTTTTTCTGATTAGTGAACGAGTACGTGCCAATGCGTTTTGATGATATTTCCATGTGGTTTATTTACATCATCGTCAGAAAGTTATAATGAGAATTAAAATCCTCATAAGATTTAACTTTGGTTTTGAAGATAAGAATGAAATAAAACAAAATTGGAAAAGCAAAAATAAAACAAAAAAAAAAAACGAAATAAAGAAAAAATTTAACAGTCAATTCCCTTAAATCTTGACTACAGAATTTATCAGATTAGGATTTTAGAAGCATCTTTTTGGGGGTTGGGGTTCACATGTATGGTATTTTAATCTTTCCATATGTTTTCTATAAAGAACTCAACTGAGTGTTGATTTTTAAACACCGGCCATTGTTAGGCTCCCACTTCGATTGGTAAATTAATTTATGAGAATTACTAACATAGAATTAGATTCTAGCAAGACACAAACCCACATCGAAGACATTATACAAGACAGGTGCATTAAGAAATCGAGCAAGTACGTATATATATATATATATATAATATCAGGTGGCCTGACGAATGCGTCTAGCATGAAACAGACTCTAAGTGTTGACTGATATTGAGCACTTTATCCCATAAATATAGCACACCTTAAGACTATATTTCTTCATATATATATATATATATATATATATATGTGTGTGTGTGTGTGTGAAAATTTCTCAGAGTTAACCTGTAGAAAAGACAATATTTTAAATATAAATGACAATAGGAAAACTGTAGTTATTGCTGACGCGTTTCGTCCAATGTGGACTTTCTCAAGGCAAAAAATAAAATGAATTTAATTAAACAAAGTAACTAATAATAACAAAAACAAACTGTCCTTATCTCCAATATATCCACGTGACAGTAATTGACGTAATTTTCAGGTAACAGTATGAAAATAGCGTCCTCTGACAGTTGCTAAAGACATTTTGTTTTTGTTATTATTACTTATTTTGTTTAAATAAATTCATTTGAGAAAGTCAACATTAGACGAAACGCGTCAGCAACTACTACAGTTTTCCTATTGTCATTTATATTTAAATTATATATATATATATATATATATATATATATATATATATATATATATATATTCGCATCACGAATTTACGACCTGTGTCTGCTATTCTGCGACTATTATCGTCGCATAACAAACTTCTATGTAAACATAACAGGATATCATCTTTGGTGGTGAATATCTTTGTTGAAATACCTATATAGCGACTCTGAAGATGGTTCATGTGAACCAAAAGCTTAGATCGAGGAACAGCACTTAAAAATTATCCAAATGTTGGATGTTTTTTGTCTTTATTTCGAAATTAAAGCAACTATACGGAGCTTAGAACAATTCATGAACAAACATAATAGACATTCGTTGTCTGCTATATTTAACAATATATATATATATATATATATATATATATATATATATATATATATATATATATGTGTGTGTGTGTGTGTGTGAAGAATTTCTCAGAGTTAACCTGTAAAAAAAGACAATATGTATAAAGGTAAAAGACAATAGGAAAACTGCATTATTATCCGACTTGTTTTGTCCAATGTTAACTTTTTCAAGGAAAAAACGAAATGAATTTATTGAAAACATAGTAACTATTAACAACAAACAAGATGCCCTTAGCAACTAGAAGAATTTAGAAAACGCTATTGTATTATTGTCAACAGAAAATTACGTCAAGAACTTTCAGGTGTAGAAATATTGGTTTTTATTGTTGTGTTGACGGATTCAACCATTTTCTTCTGATTTCTTGAGATAGTTGTGTACGTTGGCCTGAGAGAGTAGTAATTCTGTTAGGAAAGGTGATTGGGAAAAAAAAAACTTGGACGTAGATTAATATTTGGATAATATTCAATGGATGAACTGATATGGGTATTGTAGATTTTTAAATGTTTTCTATGTATGTTTCCTCTCTAGGTAAATATTGGGGGCTGCAGATTCTTAATGCTCTCAGATATA